TTGAACAATGGAAACTGTACCTGGTCATGGCATGCACCACTCTAAACAGTGTTGGTGCGCAGTCACAAAGCCAGTTGGCAAACGCTCAACATGCACGCAAAGGGTCAAAGGGATCACAGCAGTCTCAAGATAAGATCAGCTCGGCTCGAAGTCTTTTTGCGTTTGTGATCCCGTTGTTGTCGGCCGAGCGCCCTACCATACGAAATGCTATAGTGGTCGCCCTTGGATCTATCAACAAAAATCTCTACCGCACCCTTCTCGAATCGCTGCAGTACGCCGTCACAACTTGCAATGAAGAAGCCAAGATTCGAATCGGCACACATTATCGCTCCCCTAGCAGTCCGCGAAGAAACCGCAAGACGGATCGACTGCGGACGGAAGTCACATATGTGTACAAGCTAACTTCGCATTTCCTACAAGAATCGGATATTTACAATGACGACTGGATCGTCAACAACCTTGTCACCTATGCGAAAGATCTTCGAATATTCTTGAGTGATGCCGAAGTCCAGAATGACTGGGAATTCCAGCGCCTCAGGTTTCACTATTGTGGTCTCATGGAGCAACTGTTCGAAGGTATCAATCGAACCAGCGATCCCTCTCGGTGGATACCGTTTGAATCCAGAAAGTCCGCATTCTCTCTCATGGAAGATTGGTGCGGATATTCGCCCAATCAGTCCCAGATTTCGCAGAGGGAGGAGAACATGCGGAAATATGCTCCTTCGCAGAACAATGAATCTGGGGCTGCCATGGAAATTGAAAAGAGGAACCTGCGCGCAGCAGCTTTGAGTGCCATGGCATCCTTGTGTGTAAGTAACTCCTAGTTTTCTCTCTTGAGACGGTTGACTGACTTCTGCAGGCTGGACCAATTAGCATCACAACGGAGAGTGGTTCGGTGCTGCAGTTCGACGTAGGCCGCATGCTATCTTGGATTGATATAATTTTCACGACTTCAATCAGCGACAAATGGCATGCCATCGGTAGACGTGCTCTCAAAAATCTGATTGTCCACAACAAGGAGCATAATTACTTGTTAGAGCGCTCCATCGAGATGTGCTATGTTGCGGAGAGACCCAAAGCGCTAGAAAGCTACTTTGAAGTCGTCACACAAGTACTTATTGAGCACACAGACTTCCCCCTCAATTTCTGGCGGATTCTAGGTGCTGTCCTTGTCACACTTGGAAATCAAAAGAGAGAGATCAGAATGAAGTCCGCCAAACTTCTTCGCATTTTGGAGGAACGGCAGCAGAAAAGCTCAAGACTGCAGGATTTCTACATCAGCATCTCTGACAAGACGACCGCCGTGTACAAACTCGCCCAGTTTGAAACGTCCAAGCGACTTGCGATACAACACTCTGACCTAGCTTTTCCCCTGTTCTCCGAGCTATCTTTGCATTTCAAGAATTTGAGACCAGACAGTCAACGGAACATGGTGGCTGCCATCCTTCCATGGGTCCAGACAATGGAACTCCAAGTTGATCCCAATGGCGGGCCGACAGCTAAGTCCTACATGCTTCTGGCCAATCTTTTTGAGATCACGATTCGTTGCAGTACCACACTTCCAAATGAAATGCAAGCCCTCTGGCAAGCTTTGGCTACGGGACCGCATGGAGGAAACGTGCAACTGGTCCTGGACTTTATTATCAACCTCTGCTTGGAACGCAAAGAACAGAACTTTGTTGAGTACGCAAAACAAGTGGTTGTGTTCTTGTCAGGAACCCCTGCCGGCTCGAAGGTGATCGAGTTCTTCTTGATGCAGGTTGTTCCCAAGCACATGGTGCAAGAGAGGAAGGAGATTACACCAGCTCCGGCCGACATCAAGAGCCTGCCGTATGTTGCTGATCTCAATACGGTACTTCCACTAGGAAACAAACAGGCCGGGCTTTCTTTGGGTCAAGTATCCTTGGTATTGCTTGTTGATCTCATGGTTGCTGCCATCACTCCGGCACTGGAAGATGTAGTCAAGTTGCTCCACGTTGCTCTCATTCTATGGGATCATTACATTGTTACTGTTCAAGAAGAGGCTAGAGAAATGTTGGTTCACTTGATCCATGAGCTGGTCGCTGCCAAGACAGAAGACGATGCCCCTGCTGGCACCAGGGAATCTATCGAGGACTTTGTGGAGATGATCCGCAAGAGTGACCCCAAGGTTGTCTGGGAATATGAGGACAACAGTGACAAAGATGATGCTGATGACGGTCGCCGTGTTCCCACGTCAATGTCTGATGTTACCCATAAAGTCGTCGGGTTTTTTAGCCTTGCATATGAGGGCATCAATGATCTTTGGGCCAAAGAAGCTCTGAATTGGGCGACATCGTGCCCTGTCCGACATTTAGCCTGTCGATCTTTCCAGGTATTCCGTTGCATATCCATGTCACTCGACTCCAGGATGCTAGCCGACATGCTCGCTCGCCTGTCTAATACAATTGCAGATGAGGAGTCGGATTATCGGACATTCTCAATGGAAATTCTGACAACACTGAAGATCATCATCGGGTCCTTGGCTCCTGCGGATCTTTTGCGCTATCCACAGCTGTTCTGGACGACGTGTGCTTGTTTGAACACGATCCATGAAACAGAATTTGTTGAAAGTATCGGTATGCTAGAGAAGTTCTTGGATCGTTTGAATATGGGCGATCCCATCGTAGTTGCAGAGCTCATCAAAGGCCAGCCCCCCAAGTGGGAGGGCGGTTTTGGTGGTCTCCAGGATCTGGTTTATAAAGGATTGAAGTCAAGCGAATCTCTGAACCTCACGTTAGACGTTCTACATCGTCTGAGCGGCCTTCCAAACAATGATCTCATCGGAGATAGCGACAGGCTCCTTCTCACAGTACTGGCGAATCTGCCCCACTTTCTCCATCAGTTCGACTCGAATATTGACAACCCCAAGACGTTGGCACGGGCTACTTTGCTTGCGCGCGTTGCTGAGAGCGAAGGTTGTCCACGTATTGCAGCCTCTCTGCTTGGGTTTGCGAACGGACAATACAAGGCGGAGAACGATTTCTTGAGCCACATCATCACCGAGCTGCGCTCCTACTATTTCCCTCGAATGGATGTTCCGAGCTTAATCTTCCTCATGGGACTACTAACAAATACCACCAAATGGTTCCGCGTCAAGGTCATGAAGATACTCTGTGTCCTGATACCGGAGATTGATATGCGACGAGAGGAAGTGACGAGCCATGGCCCTGACCTTATCTCACCATTACTGCGGCTGCTGCAGACTGATCTGTGCCCTCAGGCTCTGCAAGTCATGGACCACATTATGACAGTATCGGCCAACCCAATGGAACGCCATCACCTTCGAATGAGCATGGCTTCGGCTTCATCGTCACGGGCCGTTCGAAAAGAATACGAACGTATTCAAAGTCTTTATGGAATACCCGAACCGACCGGGTGGTCAATTCCGATGCCTGCCTCTCAGTCGAATATCACTCGTCAAAATGTTCACGCGGTGTTCTACACATGTGCAGAAGTGGACCGCATGGAGGTGCAAGAAACCGTCAAGCCTGAGGTTGAATTTCATGCAGACGAATACAGTGACTCGTTCTTCCCTATGCGAGCAGATACTATGAAATCAATTGACACGCAGACGGACGGCAACATGGGAGATATCGTGCAGAAATTAGACAGCCTGGACGACTTTTTCGAAGAGGCGGACCCACTTCACCCGGTCTTAGACACCATCTCAGACCCTGCACTACGTAGCTTTGCTGGTGCATATGCTGATACGAGTGCCAGTCTCTACGATCAGCAAACGGCGCCGATTCTGCGCAAATCTCTTGCCAGGACTGCCTCGATATCCTCTTTCCACAATGGACTTGCGGAGTCCCGGCCGCCAAATCTACGGTTCGATAGCGCTGGGGTACATCCTTCTGGTACATTCACACCCCCGGCGCCTAGCCAACTTGCACGTCCAGTGTCTCACACTCGGTCCGTGACGTCTCCGGCCAATCATTTGCCCTCGCCATCCTCGTCCAGTGTACAGCAAGCCACGCCTGTCATTGGCTTTGGCGAGTCTGCGTTCCTTTCGGACGATGAGATGGAAGACACATTCGCTGATAGCAAGCCATCTATACCACATCCCATCAACCAGGTGCGAAGCGCTACTGAAGGATCATCGTCGCTTGAGTCGAGGATTCGCAGCGGCATGAGACGGCTCACTGGTGGCACGGCCCCGAGTCGAGACAAAGAGCGTCAGCGGGATGTAATCCGCGCACAGCAACGGACCCAGGCAATTAGCTCCCCACGCGTGCCTAAAGTCCCCTCTGAATATCTTAATGGCCCAACTAGCAATCCAGCATCCCCGGGACAGCAATGAGATGGCCCCTGCACCTCAGGGTCCTTTGGTGGACGCTCTGTCCTGCGCAGCTTTGCACTCAATTGAACGGTCATTGGCATCATTTGACGGCGTCTCAACACATTTTCTTATTTCTTCTGGCGTTCAACATACCCATTGTCAATTGCCGTGGTGTCGTACGAGCGGTTTACATGTTAACCTCCGATGCACTGCATCCTCCTTCAGTCTCTGTACATTATTTAATCTAGACATGAAACATAACGAGCATCGAGTTCACCCTAGTGCGTAGTTGTGTTAGCTATTGTATATTCTATACTGTGACACGTGAGTTGTAATGACGCTCCGCAGCCTTACCGAATTGGGCTTTCCCCGCACGGGGTCGGGGTAAAGATCGACATCCCCATATTCCATTAGTTCACCAACAAACACCTTGATCACTCAATGTGTCTACCACTTTGCTGGCTGAATGGCAAGAATCGGTTATCCTCGGGATTACTACCTGACTGCAATTCGCTGCTCTACGTGGTCCTCGGCCTAGTAGCGCTGACCCATCACATTGATGAACTACAGCTAGAGTGCTACATTTACAACTCCAACTTACGATAGCTACCACCTTTGCAGAGCGCCGAATCCCACTGCTTAACTTCGAAACAAGGAGCCATTGGCAGCAGCGCATTGATTGCACCTCGTTCGATAGGCTGTTTCTTCTCAGGTTCTAGCACTTATTCACACTCAACAATGGCTCGTCTCGGTGCTCTATCCCCGCTCCTGCGGGGGACCCGCCTGTCAAGAGTAGCCCCTTCAGCGAGCCATCCTCTTCGAAAGCCCCCCATCAGTCCAAGAAGGCTGTTCTCATCCTCTACACGGAAACATGCCACGTGGGGATTCATAGGACTCGGACAAATGGGTACGTATGGCTCCAACCCTCTCGAGCATGTGTGTTGCAGGTGGCTGACAGTGCGATTCTCTGTCTAGGATATAACATGGCTAAGAACATACAGTCCAAGATCCCCGCCACCGACACGCTGATGATCCGCGATGTCAATCAAGATACCACCGCACGGTTTGTGGAGGAGGCTCGTCAGGCAGTCAAGCGAGCTGCTGCTGCGGGCACTGGCACTGGCATGGCCAATGTTGTCGTGGCGGAGAGCGCGAGAGATATGGCAGAACAATCTGTAAGTAGTTCGAGCTCTATATGGTGTTCGGAACAGGGGTCTATGTGAAATCCGGGTCTGGAAAGCTTTCATCACGGGGTATTGTCTGCAGTATTTATGCAATCATCAGCATTTGACAAGCCCATCGGGGCCCCTGGTTTCGTCTTCTGATAACGTTTCCTGTTCCAGACGGTCGTCGTCACCAGCCTTCCAGAGCCACAGCATGTCAAAGACGTCTTCTATTCCATTCTCCGGCACGGTGAACTCCCACCCCTGGAGCAGGAGCGTCTGTTCATCGACACGTCAACCATCGATCCTAGCTCATCCAAAGAGATTGCGAACGCCATCCACACCACCGGTCAAGGTCGCTTTGTGGACGCACCTGTGTCGGGTGGTGTCGTTGGGGCCCGCAACGGTACGCTCAGCTTCATGTTCGGTGCCACGTCCCAGACCGGTCAGCTCATCGACCGAGTGAGGTCGGTCCTGTCCCTTATGGGCAAGAACGCGTGGCATATGGGCGCCCCCGGTGCCGGGGTCTCGGGGAAACTCGTCAACAACTACATCCTGGCGATCAACAACATCGCCACCGCCGAAGCGATGAACCTGGGCCTGCGCTGGGGCCTGGATCCCAAAACTCTTGCTGATATGGTCAATACGTCCACCGGTCGGTGCTGGCCGATGGAGGTCAACAACCCTGTGCCTGGCGTTGTGGAGACGGCGCCAGCCTCTCGTGACTATGCCGGTGGCTTTGGCGTCAGCTTGATGAAGAAAGACCTACGGTTGGCGATCACTGCTGCAGAGGAGTCGGGCTCACCTCTACCCTTGGCTGATGTAGCTCGCACTGTGTATAATGCGGTGGAGGAAGAGCACCGCGGTAAGGATTTCTCGGTGGTCTACAAGTGGCTTCAGGATAGGTCGCAATAACAGGGGGGTTGGGTTTCTGGGTAGATGTTCGGCTCCTAAGGAATCGAATGCCACGGAGATCGTGGGGCAGACATGGCTTCTGTTACGTTCTGAAGTCGCCCATTCAATACTTGCTGTTGCCGTCTGTGCACTGAAGAGGAGCCCAGAACTGTATGTCTCCTGTCCTAGACAGGGAAGACCGAGGTGCACTCTTGATTGAAAACGTACTAGGCATACCAAGCAAGAGATGATTTCTATTTGGATTCGTGTTCAAACCCACAGGCGAGTGAGTGGACATGTGCCTTTAACTCATGTAGGACTTAGTAAACACGAAAAACGCCACAGCTGCAGCGCCATATTTAGCACACTTTCCAAAAGAGCAACATGAATCATCATTTTGTCTATACCAATTATGTAGAGATATTAAAAGTAATAGTCGTCCCGGCCAACGAGACCCAGACACACAAACACACACATATATATACGTACTCCGCTCACAGAAAGGAGAGCTCCACAACACCATCTCGCAACAATGCATCCATCCAACCTCACAGAGCTCGTCCTGCAACCAGGTTGCAATTCCCTCTCCTCCATTTACTCCTCCTTCTTTACCCCCTCAACCTCATCCTCACTCCAATCCAACAACTCCATAATCTCCTCCTCCGACAACTTCTGCGTCTGCTTCTCCGCCTCCTTCTCCAAGCTCTTCTGATACTTCTTCTGCCTCTTGCGAGCATTCTTCCCCCACTCAGGCACCCCACTCGCCGTCGCGAAATCCTCCTGCGTGACATTGGAAGTCGCCGCGGAGGTGGTCGCGGTAGCAGCGCCGGTGGTAGTGGCGGCGGTATCCTCCTCGTCCTCAATCTCATCGTCCGTATTCTCCACCTCCCCGAGTACTCTTCCCCCGCCACCGCCGCGGAGCGCATTGGCCGACATGCGCGCCTTCTTCTTCTCGCCCTTCCCGCCGCCGGCGGCCGCTTCCTGGGCGCGCTTCTTCTCCATGTGCTTCTTGCGGTCCTTCTCGTGCATCTTCTTGAACCAGGCTTCGATGTAGGGCCGGATGATCAGGTAGCCGACCACGGAGAGGATGACCTTGGTCCAGCGGCCCGTGGAGACGTTGGCGAAGGAGCCGTGCAGGTTCGTGATGAAGCGGGTCACGACCGTCTCGGCGACGGAGTAGAGCTGCGTGAAGAAGTCGGTGAGGGCGTCGAGGGCGACGGCGCCTGGGTTGGGGGGTGGGGTGGACATTTTGGTTTGGTGGATTGAGGACTGCTGGGTTCGAACTATTGTTCTTCAATGCGGGCTGCTCAACTGGAGGTTCAACCGGGGAAGAGGAGGGCGGGTTTGGCCGGATGTACGGAGTAGTGGGGGGATGTGAATTGGATTGGAAGGCTTGTCTGTGGTAAGACAGCAAAGGGCCTAGCAACGTAGATACTGCGACTGTTTGCACCACAGAGCTCCGGGCTTTGTTTTCTCGCAGAAGCCAGAGAAAAATTGTACCTAGGTGAAAGGGCCACCTGTGTACTAGGTCAAGTAGCTTAGTTTCGCCGCAATAAATCGCTCATTCGGAGTGGAAATGCCGAAAGTGGAAATGCTTTTGCTTCGAGTTTAGCGTCATTTTGCCCGCAGCGGATTAACTCCCGTTCCGGTGGGTTGAGCTTCGGCCAATCACGGCTTGATCTGCATACTCAACGCGTCCCCGACACGAACTGCCGCGGGAAGTCGTCGCGCATCGGCAAGCTACAGTACAGTTGGGTACCATCTTGATACTCGTTCGAACTGCGTCTGGTGCTTTTGGTCACGCAGGATTTGCAATTCGCGCTGGTTGTCTTCAAGTCTCCCGTCTTAAAAGCTGGAATATCCGCGATGGATCAAACCGAGGAAGCTGGACTCGAAGAGGTATGTATCCCATTATCAGGATGGTGCGGTGCTTGCTCCCCTACGTATACGGCTTGGATAGCTGTGCTGATCGTTGTCTTCGCACTCAATACAGCGTTTGAAATCTGCCCTTTGGCTGGCGATTGGGAGGATCGTGGACGAAGAGACTATCAAGCTCGGTATCAACGCCACGCCTCAGTTTATCGGGGCATTGACAGAGTTGGTCTGGGCTCAGATAGGTTGGTGCTTTTTCCCTCTCCTCTGCCTAACATCGAGCCAGCACGCTGGATGGACTCTATCAGCAGCGTTCTCTCGAATGTCTCTCGTTGGATGCTTTCTTCTCTCGTACCAGACTTGCGCCCGAATGCTGACTGGAATCCCCAATAGAAACCGTTAGCCAGGACTTGGAATCATTTTCCAAGTAAGTGATACCCTTAAGTGATTCTTTTGCCTGGGGAATTTCCTTTCATGACCAAAAGCTGGCTGCCTTCTTGTGGTTCTGTCTGACGCCCAGAGACGTTGATATTACGATATGCTGACATGCTCGGCTTTCCGTTTTAGGCATGCCGGCCGCTCGACGGTTAATGTCACCGATGTCATGCTCCTGGCACGCCGCAACGAGGGCTTAGAATCCATTCTCCGCGCGTTCGTTGAGCAGATGCGCGATCGAGAAGCCTGATTCAATGGGGGCCCACTAACTGGTGTTCCCTCCCGGCAGGGATTACTTCAGTCCAAAGTCAATGTGCAGATCTACCCGACTGCTTTCATATCATTGGTGGCTGGGCTCCTCTGCCATTCAGAGCCAACTTTTAGGGTATGTATGGCAGACCTATTCACTTCCGTCTCATGTCAAGTCCCCGTAATCGAGGGAGTGGCTAATCTTTTGGCAGGAATGGTGGCGGGCCGTGTTACCAAATGACAGCTGCGGAGATCAAATTAACGTGAATGTAAAAGGTCTAATTCGTCGCGATTCATGACGCCACTGCTCCAGCATCCTGACAACGCAAACAGGCACGCGATATCTCCGGGCGCCATCAACCTCGAAGGTCTAATCATGGCGCCAATTCCAGAGAATTCTGAACCTATCGCTGAACCACCAGCTATCCTCTGACGTCGGACGAGGGCCAGCAAATCATGCTCGCGGTATTCCTGGACTAATCCAAAGAGAAATGAGAATATCTCCGGAAGCCACCCGTGAGGCTCGCTTCAACGCAGGATCAATGCAACATCAGATACCTTATGTTGTAATGATTATCAGATGAACAGCCTCTCGTCCGACCAATTGAACATCATGTAGACAAAGTACTGTATATACACTTCAACCAATCAATGAAATCTGAAAACATATCCTGCTCGCGAGGGAGACCTTATATCGACTTAACGTCACTGCAACGCTGCATTTCGCCGCGACATCTTATATAGCACTCGCTTCATGAAAATGGCTGTATCCACTTTTCTTTGACAGCAAACCTTCACCGTATTCGCCGTTGCGTTGCTTCACGAGTGTGTATAACACAATACCAATTTATATCTCATGACGAATCTAACTCAACGAAAGCGAAACTAAAATGCTGAACACTGCGACTGACTCGGTCAAAGCTCTGCGGAGGACTCTCACGGGAACTGCACCCATCATGAAGGCCGTGCGCTTCCACGGACGGGGCGACATCAGGGTAGATGAGATCGAAGAACCGACATGCGGGCAGGGACAGGTCAAGGTGATTTTCCCACCTTTTAGGCGCTTATTCCCTACTGACAGCCACGCCCATAACATAGATGCGACCTGCCTTCGTCGGAATCTGTGGCAGTGGTAAGCGATCTCCCGTCACCACTCAAGGATCTCTGCGTCCGTATTAAGCCCCCTAGACTTACACGAATACCTGGGCGGTCCAGTCCTAGTACCCCAGGAACCGCACAAGATCACCGGGGCCACGCACCCAGTAACCCTGGGCCACGAATTCGGCGGGATCATTGAAGAGGTCGGCGAGGGCGTAACGCACGTCTCGCCGGGCCAGCGAGCTGTCGTACGGCCCACCATCTTCGACAAAGAGTGTACGTCCTGCAAGCTGGGCTACGAATACTGCTGCGAGAACATCGGCTTCATCGGGCTATCAGGTACGCCCCCGATCTACCACGTTCCTTATTATTGAGCGAGACGAGCAACAATGCCACTAACCACCCAACCATCTGCGTACAGGGTACGGCGGCGGCCTAGCCAAGTACATCGTGGCGCCAGCTGAACACTTCTACCCGCTACCGGACACCATCTCCCTGGAGGCGGCGGCGCTGATCGAGCCCCTGGCGGTCGCCTGGCACGCGGTGAACATCTCCCCCTTCAAGCCCGGTGACAGCGTCCTGGTCCTCGGCGGCGGGCCCGTGGGGATCGGGATCGTGCAGGTCCTGAAGATGCAGGGGGCGCAGAACATCCTGGTCGCCGAGCTGATGGCGAACCGCCAGCGACTGGCGCGGGACTACGGCGCCGCGCACATCGTGGACCCGCGCGCGGAAGGGCCCGGCGGTAACACAGCGGCGCGCGTCCGCGAGCTGACGGGAGGCGTCGGCGCGGATGTCATCTTCGATACCGCGGGGGTGGAGGCGGCGCTCGACGAGGCGATCGGCGCCTGTCGCACCCACGGCACGATTGTCAATATCGCGGTCTGGGAGAAGCGGCCCGCCTTAAGGGTGAATGACCTCATGTATAGCGAGTTGAAGTATACGGGGTCGGCGCTGTATGATGAGAGTGCGTTTGTGGGTGTGATTCAGGCGCTGAATCACGGTATGTTGCATGCCCAATCTTTTTGGTGATTGTTGATGGATTGGTCGACGAGAGGCTCTAACATGGGTGATAGGCCAGTTGGCTCCGGAGAAGATGATCACCGCGAAGATCGGGTTGGATGATGTGGTGGAGAAGGGGTTTGAGGAGCTGGTCAAGCATCGAGATGCGCACTGCAAGATTCTGGTTGATGTGCAGGCGTAGAGCTTGAGGGGGTGGGTTGCTCTTGATTACTGACGACGATACGAGTTTCTTATTGTCAATGTGTATGATATTGTTGAATATGCGCCATTGCCATTGCCATTGCATGATACTGCAGTACCCACAGTATTGAGTGAATGTCGCTGCTACCACTGTACACTACTGTAACAAGAGTATCCCAGTCAAACAATCGCACCGCTAAACCCCCCTAACACTGCCCAGCGCACACATCCACTAACCCACAACCACCCCAACTCCCCCAGTGATCCATCCCATAAGTCCCACATCACCCGTATACCCAGTAACAAAATGGCACCCCACAATTCGCCACCCACCAGAACCCCGCATACTGTGTGACAGCAACCTGAAGTCATGCTTACGGTGCCATTGACCCAGGCATTTTTGATATCTGCTCATGTTGCCATACCAGGTGACAACAACATCAACTGGGTCCCATAGCTCAGTTGGTTAGAGCGTAACGCTAATAACGTTAAAGTCGAGGGTTCGAGCCCCTCTGGGACCAGCTTTCTTTTTGTTTTTGTGTGGGCTTGATTATTGGGTGGGTGAAGGCTGGCTTTGATTGATCGAGGCTTTTTTTAAGAAAGTGTGGTGGCCTTGAGTATGAAGGTGGTCTAGTCGGGGTGGGTTTAAGGGGGGGGTTTGTAGCTCAGACTATTCACATTTGTCTTGAACTCGGTTGTTGATTGACTCGCTAGGCAAGTGTATATATAGTATAGGGTTGGTGTTGGTGGGCGCTGGTTGAAAGCGTGCTCCTGGCCTCTAATTTCTAACCTTATATCAAATGCGACAAGTCATCCGTCATACCCTCGTGGAATGAGCGTGACGTTCATCTTTGGGCTCCGATAATATTCGTCCAGTGCACCGGGGCTGTGCTTTTGCCTGTCGGCTATACTTGGGATTGGATGTTGACCAGGTATTGACTATTGACTCCGTCAACTGTGCTACCGGGAGTATAGTCCACCACCACTAGTCTGGTTAATACTCCCAAGGCATGTCGTACTCACATCCCTGCAACTGCAACTGCATCTCATCTGATACTGAGCCTACATCAACATCAGACATTGCAGGCATTCATGCCACTTGGACGAAGGGGGAAGGAATCGAAAGCTACGCCGAACTGTACATCGAGCTTCAATCCACCATCTGAACCCGGGCATGGCCACCCCATCCAGCCACATACGAGTCCAACTAACCGAGCTTCTTGCAGCATCCACACCCTTAGACTCATGAGTTCTTAGCTCCTCGGCTAGATGCATTTTTACAGCTCCTGTCTTTGAGACGTCCGGAATGAAGTGACATAGATGGTCTAGCATGAGCCGCAGCAGCTTTAGGCGTGAATGACGAGGGTCGTGGATGCATCCGACTCTTCCTCTGCTCTCTGCAATCAACGGGAACAGAGCAGACCCGTGGAGCGGCTCGAGTGTATAGGATCGTCTGTGAAGAGACTCCTTAGGAGGGATTCTTTCAGAGGGCTGGAACGCTATTCAACAGTCCAATCAATCAATCCACCAACGCTCTACATGACAGTAGCTGGAGGACGGATCGCATTGATCGTCTAGCTGCTGCGACATGGTAGTGTTTGGATTTGGACGTCTAATTCGCGGACTATGGATCTGACTTACAGTCTGGCGCCTTATGCACATGGCATACATGGCAAGGCCGTCATACAAGCCGCCTAGTTGGGTTTGATGTGCCTGTCCCTGGGATGTACAGTACATACCACAGAACCGGGATCAGCACCTCTATCCTTCCGTCCTATTCATGCGATTAAGTCGGCGACATAGAGCAGATTGATTATCCAACACTGTAAGTCTGAAAAAGAGAATGCACATGGGGGCAAAAAGATGGTCCCAGAGGGGGTCGAACCCTCGACTTTAACGTTATTAGCGTTACGCTCTAACCAACTGAGCTATGGGACCAGTTGTTGTTGTTGCTACCTTGAAGTTGTGTCTTGAGTGGTTGAGCCGGCCCAGCGTACCTTCTTTCCATTTATATAATAACAGGTTCTCCCACCGTGTCAGGGCTGCCATTACAACCGGGTTGGATACTTTATATAACACACGAAATTAAAGTTGGACCTGGGCTGGATGGGCCTTTCATCGCCGAATTATAACCAACCCAATACACTGCGATACCAACACTTAGGAACTTCCGAGATCTGCACACGTTCGATTGACTATATGTCCATCACATGTACGGGCGAAAAATATGTTTTCGCAAGAAAATTGCTTCGCATGCGGTTGAGCTGCCGGGAATGGTTCACTATAAGGGTATACTAAGGTTGCTAAGTCAAAGGCGATCGATGTCGGCATATTGCTATAAGCAGGGTCCAAGTTTAATATATCGAAGGGTTGAGCCGGAGTTGCAAAGAAGCTGTTGTCATCTATAACTACAAGCTTAACAGTTAAAGCTATAATGGGATTGTATACTTGCCTTTAAATAAGGCTTGATAAATCAAAACTTGGCACAAGCTCTGATGTTGTATTCTTTTCATATGCCTTCACAAGTGTTGAAAGGTCAAACCTTTTAACAGAGTCAATCCTTTCCAGTATAGCGCTTTGTTCAAGGAATCCATTTTCCGGAATTGTTAAGGAGTTGGATGTCTTTGATGAATGCGTGACGTCCTCTATGTTCTCATCTGTATATATGGAGAGATACTTCAGCGGCATCACCATTGAGCTCACTAACTGGAATGGTGCTATATATATATATATATATATATATATATATATATATAACACTACTCTCTCTCTC